CTGTGTTTGTCTATGTCTATGTCAGGTAATTTGATGTTTCCATGGATACTATGCCTGAGGAAACCAGTCTCCTCGAAGAATAGAGAGATTATTAAGTGTCTTTCCCCATCCATGCATGTACATTTGGCTGTTGTACATATTGTACAGCTACAGACGGATCAGATTCCATTATCAAAGCACTATGCACATTTCTTCAGAGACATCAGTTAGCTGTCTTCACACAAAAAGCTTCAAATCGAAGATCTGCTGTTTGAATGTCGAAAGTAGTTTCAATTTAAATACATGAATTCAGACACTAAACTACACATTTCATCACCACAATGATTTTGGAAAGAGCGGACTGACTACCTTAAAACTGTCACGCCCTGGCTCTGGGGACAATGTTATGTTGAGCCAGGGTGTGTATTCTATGTTTGATTTTCTATGTTGGGATGAGTGACTCCCAATCAGAGGCAACGAGTGACAGCTGGTTGTCTCTGATTGGGAGCCATATTTAACTATCGGTCTTTTCACTTTGTGTTGTGGTTTCTTGTTCTATGTTGGTTTGTGTAAAACCGTAGACATCACGTTATCGTCAGTTGTTTTGATCGTGTGATCATTCCAATTTAATAAATATGTTCGCTTTCAACGCTGCGCCTTGGTCCTCCTCATTGGTAGACGATCGTGACAGAAAATCCCACCTCGACTGGATCAAGCAGCGTGACGAGGAGAGAGGATGGACTTGGGAGGAGATGAGTGCGAGTCTGGCAAGAGGGATGGAGGCCTTGGCCACGGGTAGGAGTGAAGCCCATAAATTTTTTAGGGGGGGGCTAACGCCGTGGACGACGGGGCAGCAGGAGGCCGCCAGGTTACGGGAGTCACTGGTCACCAGGGGGAAGGAGGATGTAGAGGCACGGCGAGAGGTACTGGCGTGTGTTGCCGGTCCGGTCCGGCCCGTTCCAGATCCCGAGGTAGAGCCAGTGGTGTGTGTCCCCAGTACGGTCCGGCCTGTTCCAGCCCCTCGCACCAAGTGTACGGTGCGCGTCGCCAGCCCAGCCCGGCCTGTCCCTGCTCCACGCACCAAGCCTACGGGGTGCGTCGCCAGCCCAGTCCGGCCCATCCAAGCTCCCCGCACCAAGCCAGTGGTGTGCGTCATCAGTCCGGCACGGCCCGTGCCTGCTCTCCGCACCAAGTCTGTGGTGCGTTTCGTCAGCCCTGTCCGGCCCGTTCCTGCTCCACGCACCAAGCCTACGGGGTGCGTCGCCAGCCCAGTCCGGCCCATCCAAGCTCCCCGCACCAAGCCAGTGGTGTGCGTCATCAGTCCGGCACGGCCCGTGCCTGCTCTCCGCACCAAGTCTGTGGTGCGTTTCGTCAGCCCTGTCCGGCCCGTTCCTGCTCTCCGCACCAAGCCTACGGTGTGCGTCGCCAGCCCAGCCCGGCCAGTCCCTGCTCCACGCACCAAGCCTACGGGGTGCGTCGCCAGCCCAGTCCGGCCCATCCAAGCTCCCCGCACCAAGCCAGTGGTGTGCGTCATCAGTCCGGCACGGCCCGTGCCTGCTCTCCGCACCAAGTCTGTGGTGCGCGTCGCCAGCCCAGTCCGGTCCATTCCTGCTCCACGCACCAAGCCAGGGGTGCGTATCGTCAGTCCGGCTCCGGCCAGCGGGGCCAGACCGGACCAGGGGTACTTTGGGGGGTTGGAGAGGGAGTGGGGATCAGGCCCGGAGCCGGATCCGCCGCCAAGGCGGAGTGCCCACCCGGTCCCTCCCCTGTGGGATTTAGTTGGCGCGGTCGGAGTCCGCGCCTTTAGGGGGGGGTACTGTCACGCCCTGGCTCTGGGGACAATGTTATGTTGAGCCAGGGTGTGTATTCTATGTTTGATTTTCTATGTTGGGCTGAGTGACTCCCAATCAGAGGCAACGAGTGACAGCTGGTTGTCTCTGATTGGGAGCCATATTTAACTATCGGTCTTTTCACTTTGTGTTGTGGTTTCTTGTTCTATGTTGGTTTGTGTAAAACCGTAGACATCACGTTATCGTCAGTTGTTTTGATCGTGTGATCATTCCAATTTAATAAATATGTTCGCTTTCAACGCTGCGCCTTGGTCCTCCTCATTGGTAGACGATCGTGACAAAAACAATAATTTCATCCGTAGTATGATGAGTCTTGGCCCTGTCAAAAATGTCAGGTGAGCCCAAGGGCCCTTAGAGGAAGCAATTTTGTCAAACTCCCCAGACAATAGGTTAAAAGTCATAACTTTAAACAAAAATAAACAGTATGATCAACCAACATTGATCATATTGGAGTATAAAATAGAGGGAAAATGACACAATCATCAAAAGACAGCAGAGGGTTAAGAGTATTTCAGATTATGTAACATAATTCATGTTTTGCACAGTTTTGTATTTTTTCTGGATGAAATCATGAGAGCAGTGTAAACTGTGTATAAGAAGTGGCTCCTGTAATCTTAGTATTGATATGGAACATGCCAGTGGGCTTTTGGGGCAGTATTTAATAATCAAACCTCCCGGTGTGCTATGACATTTACTACTTCTAACATATTGGAGGGTGAAGGCAAAACAGAGACAGTATACAGAATGAATGCACATATTTTATTCATTGGCTAACAATAGGAGAAACAGCACTTTTTAAGATACATTTATCTCTGTGCTCACATCTTATTTCCAAGTTGCATTCCCTCTCATCCTGTGTGTTTCCACAATAAAAACCAGGCTTTGCACTCAGTGAAGCAGCAGTCCCCAAGGAGATGCAGCTGGCACATTCTACTTACAAAGTTGAAGTAATAAGTCATAATTCACCAAATCACTTACATATGAAAACTAAAGGGACAAGTCAATAAAAAATGGACCTAAGTGGAACACTCGCTGGACCTAATTTACAAAACCCTTGTATAAAAAATGAAGGAAAAAAAACACTTATGTGTACTTTGTTCGTACAAACAGATTTCCATGAGTCACATTGAATTTTTACAAGCTCTTTGATATACTTGAATGTGATACAAAACATTGTGTGTAGTTTTACTGCAAAGGCTATTTGCTTGTGATATATACACTGTACAGCCTAACTGTATATGGATGGATATATTAAATCAATAAAGGTTAAGGAGGTGGGGCAGGAATTACAGTAAATCATGTGATATATGAATTAAACTCTTATCATGTGATTTCAAACCCAACAAGAACAATGCTATGGTGCGATGACAGATACGACCTGCATACAGGAATCAAAAACAACAATTTCCAACCTCAATACAAAAAAGTAAGATTGACCATATTGGATCCATATTAAGATGTTAATCCAGTGCAATGCATTGTAATAGGGACAGTCTTTTCTTAGTGCCTTTGATTTTTGTTTTATTCCCCAAAATGGGTTAGAATGTATTATTTTTGAAACCCAGTCTGCTTTTCAGCACATACTGAGCAACTTCTGACATAATCTCATCACAAGCTTTAGGAAATGCCAACAACACAACATTGCAGTGGTGACCTTGGAACTAGAGACCAACACATAGAGACTGGTCAATTTCATTACATTTACAAATGTTTACACAATTCTTTGTCAATGCTTTGAATAGACACCGTACGTACCACAGTGAAAGAACCATACCTGAATATGTGTATGTTTAACAATGAATTAGAATGAGTAGATTCCGTAGTAATACCAAAGAAATGTATGAATGTTAAAAAATATTTTGAGTGATGAAATGTATAAAAGTGGCAGTCACCAGAAGTTATTTTGCATCCAATGCATTGTATATAGAGCTATTTCTAGCCATAATAGGGATACATAGTGTATGTATTTTCTGTTTATTTGTTGACAATGATATTCTGAATACTGATTTTGTATCCCTAAAGATAAAAATAGGGAAATTGAGGATTGTCTCCATCCTGGAAAAATAAAGTGGCTTTATGCAGGTGTAGTGCAAAATGTCTTATAACTTTCCTTCACAAAGCAGTGGTTGCATGTCTGCAATAAATTTACATATGGATATAGCCATGGTTATTTACATAGTCTACGAATTATGCAATATATATAAGAAAGTGACATCATATCCGTTGTTGACCTGTTCGGGTCAATCAGTGCATTGTGTGCAAAGTAATAAAACAAAAACAGAAGAAGAATTAAACCTCCAAAAATAGACAGTTAGAAATAATTATATGAGCATACTGTTCCACCTCAAAACCGCCCATGAATTATGAAGTATGGATTTTCCATTTATCTTTAAAAAACATAGTTATTTGAATACCCATATGCATATAGAAGCCAGTTGAGCCTCTCTTTTTGAAAAAGTGCAACAAGCATACATAAACTGCATATTTACATTAGGGCTGGGAATTGCCAGCGACCTCACGATACGATATTATCACGATACTTAAGTGCCGATACGATATGTATTGCGATTCGATACTGTGATTTTATTGCAATTTAATGTTCCAAACATATTGCTCACTATATGTATGCTGCAGAGAGACGAGAGAGCATTAGAAAATGAGTTTTGATCAGTCATGGAAATAAAAGTGCTGAAAACATGTTGGCTCACTATTTAAAAAGATGATGGAGAACAAGCTATAGGATGAAAACTACCAGAGTTTTGACGAAGGGTCAGCCGACTAGCACTAGCGCTACCCTTGATTTTACAAATCGATACTTGGATATGCAGTACATCGATATATCATCCAAGATAATTTCTACGATCTATTTTTTCCCCATCACTGATTTACATAGAGTTGTTGGCTAAGGGATTGAATAACCTCACATTTTTCTCAAAGCAAAGACTGTAATTGATCAACAATAAACTAGCTACTGTAGCAACAGGCTGTATTGAGGATATATAAAGACAAAATAACTATTATTTTATGTTGTTAGGGGAAGCATCTGCATATCTGTATACTGTAGTTTCAAAAGATAGAAATCAGTCCTGTTAAAATTCAACATGAGCACTGTGTGCCAATGCAACAAACATAGCAATGATTCAACCTTTTAAGGGAAAAACATTAAGTCATTCAAAACTGGGTGAATGTTGTACGTTTCTCAAGAACTTCAAGGTAGTCGGGATCAATATGAAGCTTGGCTTTCAGTTCCCAGTACTCGCTCCTGTTAGGCTCAACATAAACAGCACTTGGTGCTGTGCAATACAATATTGTCTGTTGTATTCTTTCTGGGTGCATGTATTGGTGTCTGATATCGAAGTCTGACGTATACTGATTTGATGAATGGGCAGTATGCCTGCAAGGTAAAGCATTGCTGTAAGATGATGGCTTGTCTGGTTCTACATCTCTGTAGTAATACTGATGATCGTCTTCTAAGGGGGAGTGTTTGTTGAGTGGCTCTGGCGTGCTAACATTGTATTCAGAGTTTATTGCGTTACTACCCGCCTCTTCATCTGAGTGATTATTCAGAAACGTCCCATTCAACTCATCAAAGTCTCTGTACCCATCCACTGACTTGCTCTGGGTTGGGCTATAGACTGTACTCTTGCATGTGTGTTCTGTGGGAGGGGGGATGTACTCATACACATGTCCTGCAGACGTCCTGACTTTTGGAATGGATCCCTTTTTGTAAAGACCGTACTCCATGTTCAACGAACTAATGCACGCGTTCATGGATTTATTCTGCTCATTTAGAGTCTTTTGACGTCTCTTCTTCAAAGCCGCAAACAGTCCTGCAGCGACAAACACTGAAACTATGAACATCAGGAGCAGGGCAAGGATCATAACAGATAGAGGAACACTGTTGATTTGTGTGTCGTCATCTAATGATGTTTCTATGGTGATAGTGCTGCCGGGAATGGATTCTTCAGAGGGTGGGATCATGGAGGCAAGGGTATCGGAGTTATTGGGACAGAAATTACTTGTCTTAATGTATCTCATATCCTCCCCGAACAGTCTCTTAGGTGAGCCACAGATGACGTTGTTTACAACCGTGCCAGTGCTGAGCTGTTCCAGCCACATCTTCATCTCCACAATTGAACAGCGGCAGTCCCAGGGGTTCTCAAACAAGTCTACCTGCACCAGTGATGTCAGCTGATCCAACACACCGCTGACAGGCAGATTGCGTAGGTGATTATTACGAAGATTTAGTCTGGCCAATTTCAACCCCTTAAAGATTTCCCCGGGTAAGGTCTTCAAGAGGTTATTATTCAGGAAGAGCAGCTGAAGGTTGGGGACATGCTGAAAGGTGTCTGACACAATTTCTCTAATGACATTGTATTCTAAATATAAGAACTGCAGGCTCTCCAATCCATAGAACATATTGACTGTGAGGCGGTCTATCAAATTCCCATTCAGGTACAGCCTGCGTAACTGTGTTAAATCCCCAAAGGCTCTGTCATGGATGTGAGCAATCCGATTGTTGCCAAGGTGAAGCAAATCTAATCCAGTCGCTTCAATGAAATCTGATGTCCGCACCACAGGGATATAATTCCCTGTGAGATACATCTTTTTGGGATTGTAGGGTTTGGGATTTAAGTCAGAGATGCGCTCAATCTTTCTCTCTTGGCAGTTGACATTCAGACCGAGGTCTGAAATTTGGAGATTGCAAGTACAGGCAGTAGGACAGTCCAAAGGCACAGGGGATTTGGTTTGATATGAAACGATTTGACCGTAGTTTTGCGGTTTATTGGAGTGGATGCGAGACGTGGGTTTTGACTTTAGTTTGCCTGACTGGCGAGGTCCCTTGGTGGGCCTTGACGAGGACCGTGAGATGGCAGAGGATGTGAATGAGGCTGTGACTGATGCTGGTGTGGTTCTAAAGTATGCATCAGTGGTTTGATGTGCTTGGGGACGCATCTCATACTCTGCAATAGCTCTCCTGGGACACAGTTCTGGTTTAGAGACCTCATCAAGATCTCTCCCATGAAGCCGGAATGGAAACTCACAGACCACATCACCCACTAAAGCGGTATAGGATATGCTCTCAAGCCAGGCCTTTAGAGCAATCAGCTCACAAGAGCAGTTCCATGGGTTCTCCTCTAGTTGTAATTCCACAACACTGTCCATGTGTTCCAAAAGACCCGAATATGCGAGCAGTTTCAGTTGATTCCCCCTCAGGTCAAGGTGAGTCAAAGGGACATATTGGAAAATGTTAGTGGGGAGAGTAGAAATTAAGTTGTCATTTAAAATCAGGACCTCCAGATGACGCAGTTTGCTGAAGGCGTTTGGCTCGACATGGGTGATGTAATTGTAGTCTAGCTGAAGATATTCCATACTTTCAAGGCCAACAAAAAAATCTTCCTTCAAGGCATCGATTTTGTTATTGTTGAGATGTAATCTTTTTAATCCCTGAAGTCCATTAAAAGCTCCTGATTCAACGTCGGATATGTCATTGTTGCCGAGATGCAATATTGTAAGCCCATTGTATTCAACAAAGTCATTGGCGGAGAGCCTTTTCAAAAGGTTCCCTGTGAGCAGTAAATGATATGTTGTGAAGTACACAGGGCTTACTTCAGAGAGATCGACAATTCCTCTACTTTCACAGCTCACTGTCAGTATCCCCTCTTTCTCCTCACAGGCACACAATCTTCGACATATCTCTCCATAATTGTCAAACATTTCAACGATGCCCACCGATGTAGCCATCAACAATATAATTACAATCCAGAGATGCATTTTCCTATGTCGATGGCCAAACTCACATTGTTGGGCCGCTGAAGTATGCACTGTCATCTAGAAGAAGAAGATATACAGGTCATATGACGAAACATACTTAAACAACTCCATTCTCATGAGTCCTCAAACAGCCTGTAATTATAATGCTCAGGAATAGCACCTGCCCAAGGGTAACTTCTGGCTGCCACAGAATGACCCAAACTAACTGAACTAGAATAGAGCAGGACTCTTAATGAAAAAATTGACATTAATTACACTCCAGTAACATCCAGTAAGTAGCATAACAATGAGGTGAATAATGAACAAAGTCACACTAATAGCCCATACTTTAGCCCAGTGTGAAAACAAAAACATTCATTATTCAATTATCTATCAAAATAAGGAACACATGTCAGATACAATTAAATAGCCTTGATGTGCAAAAGCCATAATCAAAACTATCAACCTGGACTCAGGGGTAGACGTATGATATGTTAAGAATTGCAATTCGTACAATGTTTTATGAATTTGCAAAACATATGATATGTTATGAATTCCAATTTGTTGTGTCTAACGTTAGCTAGGTGGCTAGCGTTAGCTAGGTGGCTAACATTAGCTAGGCTAGGGTTTAGGATTAGGGGTTAGGGTTAAGGTTAGGGTTAAGAGTAAGGTTAAAAGGTTAAGGTTAGGGGGAAGGGTTAGCTAACATTCTAAGTAGTTGCAAAGTAGCTAAAAAGTAGTAAGTAGTTGCAATGTTGCTAAAAGATTTGAACATGCAACCTTTGGGTTGCTAGACGTTCGCGTTACACGGCCACCCATCCACCCTGACCAACCACCCTACTTTAGTTTTTGCCTTAAGTAACCTTCTGTCTTATGTAAACATACGAAACATACAAATTTGAGTGTCCTGGATTTACATTTACTTTGTTACGTCTAGTCTATGAGACCAGGCTGAAACAATGTATACACTTATATCTAAAAACAACTATGATGACTATTGCCACAGAAATGTAGCCTCAGCACCAATGCAAACAATCCCACGTCGTGTCTACATAGGATAATTATATTTAGAAATTCTTACCTCACTCACTGGTAAATAAGGTTCCTTGTTAGGTATGACAACGTATGTTCCATTGTATGACTTGCTAATGTTCTAAGATGCCTATTTGTTATGAACACGTTAGCCGTCAGTAATGCACTAAAGAGGATAAAAATAAATGCTGATCAACCATAACTGCCAAATGCCTTTCTCTTTTCATAACGCGCTGTGCCAGAGGAGACAACGCTATGCCTGGTAACAAAGTTGCTTATTCTGTCTCCCTAGATGAATTGCTCTATCTGTCTCTCGCTCACTCTCTCTCTCTATCTCTCTCTCTCACACACACACACACACTCACGCATGCCCTCTCTCCGCCCCCTCCCCCTCTCCCACTCTCTCTCTCTCTCACACACACAAGCACGCGCGCGCACACACACATACACACACAGACGAATCCTGTTATTTTTTTCTTGATCGCACCTGCAAAAACTGCCGTTTGTATGGTGTTACCTTGACTACTACATTTATCATGAACATAACAAGAAATCCTCGGTTGACCTGTCACTACACTTAACTTGTAGACTACACACGGAGACAACTTCCCTGGCATTTCTTAGCAAATAGCCTGCAATTTAGCCCCTTCAACTAATAAGCTACTATCAAGGGGGCATAACATACGATTATATGACAATCAACCTAAAGATAATAAGCACCTCGACTTTTAACATTTGCAAGTGTCCTCCACTCACCCACGAACGTCTGATAAATGTAATGTAATTTAGTGCAATACAGAGGAAAAAATACATTAAATTGAATGGACACATCTTACCCAGTTACACTTCCAAAAGGCGTTACACTGCATGGATACCGATACTGTCCAAACGTGATCAATAATTAATCGGCTTCCAAGTGTTTCGTGTCCTCGATAGATGGCGAGTGAGTGAATGCGTTTAATATGTTAAAACTGAGGACCTTTATTATTCACAAGATGGTCAATCTAACAGGGGAACCGATTACAGTGCGTCTGCTTCGTTTAAAATCAGCTGTACGAAATAATGTCATCAGCACTCTGAATTGTTTTAATACATTTAACTTTTCACATGAGAATCACCACATCCTCTGAGGTAATAGTCCAGCCCTCTCTCCACACCCAAATATAAAAACGTGAGAAAGAACACACCCCTCCACTACTATAAAAATGGTAGGACTTGCATTGCAATGTATTCAAATCTCATATATGCTATTTTAGGCATTTCACCTTGAAGTGTTGACCATGTGATATAGTGATTCACACTTACAAATTATTAGTCTGTTTGCTTTGTGTTAATGTAGCCTATTATGAGGGCAGGCTGTGTTTAAAGAGCTTAGTTAACACTACCTAAAGCCTCCCGTGTCCCTGTTGTTGACAACCACCCCTGGAATGAAATGTCACTATTTCCCTTCTTCTCTACAGTATATTCATCCAGCTTGGGCAGTGAACTAAATTATGCAGTCTTCCCTCAACAACATTCATATTATCATCCGGTGCATGAAATATACAATTTCACACTTGTCATGCATGGGATGCATATTGAGAGATGGGAATTGAGGTCTACGAACTGTTGCAGCATCCAGACAAATAACTGATAGAAATGGGTCAGAATGGAACCTTTACAGCTATGCCTGTTAATCCAATAATCACCCATATTAGATGTGCCCAATCATCTGCCCTGGGGCAGCATACTGTTAACACATTTGATTTGATTTGATTTGATTTGACTTGACATTAAAATGTTAAATTTTTGATAATGATATCAAAGCCAACAACTATTTTGTCTGGGCTATTCATAATTGGTAGCTAGTACTGGAGCCTCATCATGTTAGTTTCACCCTAAACCGTGATCTTTATGAAATCAGATTTACCATGTGTTATACCATGTGTTATTATATTAGTTTCTTGTTATTCAAGAACAGTGCATTTGGAAAGTATTCAGACCCCTTGACTTTTTCGACATTTTGTTACGTTACAGCCTTATTCTAAAATTAATAAAATGGTTTTTTTTGCCTCATTAATCTACACACAATTCCCCATAATGACAAAGCAAAAACAGGTTTTTGGAAATTTTTGCTAATTTCTTACAAATAAAAAACGGAAAAATCACATTTACATAAGTAGTCAGACCCTTTACTCAGTACTTTGTTGAAGCACCTTTGGCAGCAATTACAGCCTCGAGTCTTCTTGGCTATGACGCTACAAGCTTGGCACAGCTGTATTTGTTTCTCCCATTTTTCTCTGCAGATTCTCTCAAGCTCTGTCAGGTTGGATAGGGAGCGTCACTGCACAGCTATTTTCAGGTCTCTCCAGAGATGTTCGATCGGGTTCAAGTCCAGGCTCTGGCTGGGCCACTCAAGGACATTCAGAGACTTGTCCCGAAGCCACTGCTGCGTTGTCTTGGCTGTGTGCTTAGGTTCGTTGTCCTGTTGGAAGGTGAACCTTGGCAAACTCCAAGCCGCCTGTCATATGCCTTTTACTTAGGAGTGGCTTCTGTCTGGCCACTCTACCATAAAGGCCTGATTGGTGGAGTGTTGCAGAGATGGTTGTCCTTCTGAAAGGTTATCCCATCTCCACAGAGGGACTCTGGAGCTCTGTCAGAGCAATTTTGAGGGCCTTCCTCTGACACCGCCTGGTATAGAGGTCCTGGATGGCAGGAAGCTTGGCCCCAGTGATGTACTGGGCCATACGCACTACCCTCTGTAGTGCCTTGCGGTCGGAGGCCGAGCAGTTGCCATACCAGGCGGTGATGCAACCAGTCAGGATGCTCTCGATGGTGCAGCTGTATAACTTTTTGAGGATCTGAGGACCCATGCCAAATCTTTTCAGTCTCCTGAGGGGGAATAGGCTTTGTCGTGCCCTCTTCACGACTGTCTTGATGTGTTTGGACCATGATAGTTCGTTGGTGATGTGGACACCAAGGAACTTGAAGCTCTCAACCTGTTCCACTACAGCCCCGTCGATGAGAATGGGGGCGTGCTCAGTCCTCTTTTTTTTCCTGTAGTCCACAATCATCTCCTTTGTCTTGGTCACGTTGAGGGAGAGGTTGTTGTCCTGGAACCACACGGCCAGGTCTCTGATCTCCTCCCTATAGGCTGTCTCATCGTTGTCGGTGATCAGGCCTACCACTGTTGGGTCGTCGGCAAACTTAATGATGGTGTTGGAGTCATGCCTGGCCATGCAGTCATGGGTGAATAGGGAGTACAGGAGGGGACTGAGCACGCACACCTGAGGGGCCCCCGTGTTGAGGATCAGCGTGGCAGATGTGTTGTTACCTACCCTTACCACCTGGGGGCGGCCCGTCAGGAAGTCCAGGATCCAGTTGCAGAGGGAAGTGTTTAG